GTATAAGAGGTATAGATAGGTAAGGAGGGAAAAAAAGAGCGGAAAAAGAATGCGTTTCCGAGAGCAATTTACGGTGAAACGCCGCCATTTTTGCGGCCGTTACAGTGCGGCGAGGAAAGCTCCGGTGAGCGTCGTAAGAAAGGTGGAGGATGGGCTTATCGCAGGTCGCATATGACCTTTTATCGCATACTTTATGCAAAACCTGTCTGCACACGCGCGTTACTCTTCTTTGGACGCGACACGAGGGAGTTCTCTCATTCTTATCGAGAAATCCAATGCGTCACTTCGGCGAAGAGGTGTCATGAATAATCATCGTCGAATTCATTACGGGGACGAATCGTCGTCGCTCGCGACTTACGAATGCGGTGAACATTGAAAAGAACGTCTCTTTCGCTTCTCCTTTGAAAATGAAGCGTCAAACAAAATGTCAGAGCGCTGCACAGCGCATTAAACGCGAAAACGATCGTTCTCAATAATCGTGACTGACGCGATCAACAGGTGAATAACTAATTTAGTCTTTCATCGGTATCGTCATCAGGACAAATAACACCGGACAAATAACACCGATTTTATAGCGCATCCGATCTGCATTATTTATAATCGCATCTCTGCACTGTAGTAAATTTCATTTCGATATCCAAAAATTTCACGATTTTATTCGCAATAAGCAAAAAAACAAATGCGAACACAATATATATATATATATATATTTTTTGAATCGAATAGTAATTTTATTCGAGGGAGTTCCGTCCTGCTGCATTTTTTCTATCTTTGAAGTACCGCCAAGAGAAGAAAATAAATTCGCATCCACGTGCGTTTTTACGATTGAACTTACTCGACGACGCGACGAAATAAGTAACTGTCAAAAAAGAGGTGGAAAGATTAAAAGATTAAATTCTCCGTACCGTAATTGAGAAGTCCGCGAATTAACACCCAAAGTAATCAACTTTTTTTTTTCATTAATGGATCGCCATAATCAACCTCCGTCGTTTTATGTTCTAAAAGATCTGGGGCGCAAAATCGACGACATATTTTATTTAGCATCTGTTTGTTAATAGCATAATTGTGTGTTTACATTACATTTACAGAAGATATTATTTCAGAATATTTGACAAAGTGTTACGAGCTTAAAGAGAATAAGTCACAACATATCAACATGTATATCAATATATAAATACTAAAGTTTAAACGATATTGCAACATTTAATCACATCAGATCTTATCTCTCCCTTTATTGTTATATGAAACGTCGTGAATAACCTTAATGTTAATGGCGAAAGTTTTGAGACAAGTTGAAGTCAACTTCTCCTCAGGGTAAACTTTCAAAAAGATCGTTATTTATCACGATTATTTTACATTCAGTCTTAATGATCTCAATAATTAAATGTTGATTCAAAATTATAGAGGAGCAAATTTGCCCCGAAATCTTTTTATATTTGATGATTAACTCACCCCTTTACTTAGCTTGAATAAAGAAAAAAAGACAAATGCCCTTTTCTGCGTTTTTCAACTTTCAAAATTCTTAGTGATGTTCACAAATATATGGAAAAAAAAAAAAAAAAACATTCGAATGGTTCAACTAGAAACGATTAATAAGGATAGATTTATAAACAGCTTTCGATGGATTCAAAACTAATCCGCTCGAATCGATCCCTCCGACACGATTCGTAATTAAAATCGTGGGAAGAATTGTAGATAACGCTAGTACCGTGCAAAATAAAAAATGAATTCCCTTGCTAATTTCGTGAATCGATCAAAAAGATCAATTATAAGTATCTTCATTAATTTCGTAACCGAGGCGCGAAAGGAGAAGCGAGAAATAGAATCGTATTAGGCTTCTATAAGTATCGCGCTGACGGAATTAAAAGCTGTAATGGGCTATCAATCGAATATCGAACGGTACCGGTGGAAAATGTACTTCCTTCGTCAACATTTATAATGAATTCTCAACTGTCGACGGGCACGTAATTATAGAGCTTTCATATTAAAAAAAAAATCGCATCGTTCGCGAAGGCAATTTTTCTGACCGAGCTGCTTGAAACTAGTAACAAACGAATCGCTCCGTTTTCGCTCGGGTCGCACTTCCACGAGAAAGATGAACGTATTTTCCCCCGTTATTTTCGTTCGTGGGCATGATTCTGCCTCATTAACGCGTAAGCTCGACTCGCGAACAGAGACTCGCGAGAGACATTTTTCATCGGCGATCGCACGCACTCCTGAGAAAGTAAATGATTCGCTTACGAGAGAGGGCGCGAGGTCAATTAATCCGAAGAGAAGAGCGAGCCACCAGCACGGTGGAGGGAGGAGGATTAATTAAGCCGAATTAAAGGGATATTTAACGGAGTCTGGATGCGCGCGAAGCGGAGAGTGGACGAAAAAAGACGCGGCTTTGGTTGACTGACCGGCGAGAGGCAGTTCGTCGTCGTCGTCGTCGTCGTCGTCGTCGTCGTCGTCGTCGTCGCCGCCATTTTTGTCGTGTGGCTGGTTCGACAGTTCGCAGCTGCAGATTGACACGGCAGCAGCAGACTGACGTCACCTTTTCATAAAAATAGGCGCGTTTCTACCGGCTGCAGAGCGGCAATGGCACTGCTCTAACAACGGTTGGGGGATAAAGCCCAATTAAAACATACGCGCGTCGGGCCCTCAGAGGAATATCGTCTCTGATTAATTGGTACAATGACGCGAGCTCTAAGGCATCCTCGATCCTAAGGAATCCGCGGCGACGATGCATCGCGAGGTCGATGCGCCCACTCGACACGATCACTCCTACGACTAATTAGCGCATCGTTTAATACATTCGATTTCTCTGCCTGTCGAGCTTACAGTAAATTTATAACGAGCGCGTCGCGCCCCGATTGGATTTTCTCACAGAAATACCGGGAAGATGAGGTTCGCAGATGAAACCAACATGATTTCTCTCCGTATATTTTCAAAACATATTTTGTAATTCCATAACGCCATAAATTTATGTTTTCCAATCACCGAAGGTTTTTTATCGTCTCTCTCTCTCTCTCTCGCGTATCGTCTCTCTCGCGTATCGTCGATGTAATATCCGCAAAAGAATATTCTGAAATATTAAAAAGCTTTACCGAGTTCACAGACGGATATCGATGTATTAACAAAAATTTCAAAGCTTTTATCGACGTTACACAAAGACGCGCGGGATTTTATCGAGATTCCATCGGTGATTTTTGTCGATGAGAGAAACACAATTCACTTGTCATTTTGACATTAAAATGATGTCCCTTTACATACATATTATTTATCATAAATAACATGAAAAATTTTTATATACGCACATTACATACGTTATATATTTATTCTACGTCATTCACCCGCCATTCATTTCCGTTTAAATGTGAAATCGGCTTAAGTGCAATAAGGATGAAATCCGTTTGTTATATAAATCCGGGAACCCTACTTTCGCAGGGAATATTTCTAAATCGCACTGACGATTAATAGGGTATTAATTATATTGCCGTATACGTCGATCTAATCCGCCTTTTGAAGTTGGAGAAAGGAAAAAATGATCTTCAAAGGCCGCAAATAGAAATGGAAGTCTAAGCGAGCGGTTTATCGATGTATTTCTACTAAAAATTAAACTGTCACGTCAATGGTGCTTCTCGCATTCTCATTTCTCTTATTCTCCCTATCTCTTTCTTTCTCTTTCTCTCTCTCTCTCTTATTTGTATTTCCACAATTGAGTATTGAATGCGTCTAAGTATTCGAAGCAAATATCCGATTGTCAAGAAGCAAAAGAAATTATTTTATTGAGAACTCAGGTTATCAGCAATACGCACATCGAACTTTATATTAATTTCTTCTCAGAAATTCGATTCGTTTACGATAAATAATACAAAATCACGATATAAATTATACGAAGTATAGTAATTATCTGGGCGTTTAATAGTTGTTTCCACCGTATTTCGCGACTAGTTAAACATACAGCGAGCGCAAACTTTACGAATCACTTTTCTTGACGTATGGGCCTTCCGACTTCGCGCACGTGATTTATCTCGTATGTTATGTCTTTGTCGCGTGCTATGCTTCTTTGCAACTGGCACGCTTTATGAATTCTTGAGCTTCAATCTGTCTTTTTAACTCTAGTTTTCTTGGGGGGGTTAGACATCAATAGTTTTCAAAATAGAGTAACTTTTCAATAACGAAAATTTTTTTGTAAATTCAGATATTAGATGAATAAAATTTGCTCATTTATTCGAAAATGATAAACCATTTAACTGCTATTTTTAGTGTAATAATAATAATAATAAAAAATTGTAAGGTTGAATTTGTTTGAATTTTTACAGTGGCCTAATCCCTTAGAAAATATATACAATTAAGTCAAACTGTCTACTACAAAAAAATTTCAAGGAATTAAAGAAATAAAAATACATAATTATAAAAATGTAAAAAATACTAAATATCAAATTGTATTATAAATATTTAAAAATATTTACATAGCAATAATGAGTCGAGAATATGTTCAATGGTGTTTGTTTTTTTAAATATTTATACTTAATATAAAGTTAATCAAAAGTAACAGAAAAGTTAATAAAATTTGATATTTAAAATTTAACAAATTTGACATTGAACACCTGTTGAACGTAATCGAGAATTCCAGTGTGTTTAAAATATTACTTGTACTATTCATCTCTTCTCTAAATATTTTAATGCATTATCATGGATTTTTAAAGATCATCACATCGGATCAATTATATTCTACTCCGACTACTTTATATTAAGTGAAACCTTTTAAATAGTTGCCTGAAGTAACGGAGGGAATACTCAGTATGCAAAACTTTACGCTTTGGAAGAGCCTCTTCGATATAAAATTTCGAACTCGTTCGTAGCTTGTCGAGAGAACGCCGGGTCTCTCGATTACGTTGAAGATGAAGAGTGACGGGAGAGTGAAAGAATAAAAAGCATAGGCAAAGGAAGGAAGTGGAGAAAAGAAAAGAGAGAAAGAGAAACGTGGAAAATACACAAAGGTATTTTGCGACCTGCTGTCTGGTTGATGTAGAACTCGAACGCGGCCAAGGGTCCGTAAGTGCTGGAGCAGTACGAATCACGATGGTCCACCTTGATATTCCATCCATGTAGTGGTCCCCTGGGCGAGCTGACGTATTTCACAGCCAGCAACACCGCCGGCAATACCCTGGGTAGACTCTGCTCGTGGTGAGGATCGCCTGGCGCGATCACCGCCAGCTTCACTTCGCCCTTGGACTGTACCCGTGTATTCCCGATGCATTCCTTAGTGGGGCCACTGGTCGGCATCATCGTCGTTGTCATCATCCCCCCCGTTGTCGTTGACGTTTTCATCATTATCGTCATCAGGCCGGTGTCCGCACAATGACTCGCGCACAAACTCGACAGAGTTAGCGTGAGTCTCATTAAAACACCACTCGCGCACCACTGCTTTCTCGTCCGCGATGCCATCGCGTCCTCCTCGGCGCACGTCTACTCCTTTAACTCGATGGGAATGTCTCTCTAATTATTGCGCATCGCGAAGCACTTTCCGGATTAAATCGGTCGGTTACACAAGAGGAAGAACGAGTCACTCGCGATTGCTCGCGCACTTCGGGCAACCGTCCCCTCCGCATTTTCGTTTTAGATCGAGTCTCACTCGAAGCAACCCATCCGCATTGTATTTTACGGCTACGTGGCTCCGGTCATTCGTTGCATTTAACACACTTGCTGTAATTCGCATCTCTCCAATTCAAATTTGCATCTGATGCGAGCAAGCCATTGCTTGCAATGTAAGCGAGGAGCAAGAAAATATTTAAATCGATCAGCGATTGATATTTTTAATTTTTTATCACACTTTATTAAAAAGCATTTCCATATAATGGAATGTATAATGTATTCCTTTATCTTTCCCAGAGGAATCATAGGTCGTTCATAATTTGATGGATATATTCTTGTCTTCATTCGTTGCCATTCTCATAACATATGCAGCACAACACGTATAAAAGAGCTTCTGAAGCAGCACGTATTAATGCCTTCATAAGAAAATTTGTATAGATGATCTTGTTTCTCTCTTAAAGTACTAAGATATCGTCTATCGCTTAAGAAGTTTCGTTGCAGCTCTTAGTGTAATCCAATCTAACTTTGACGCAACGATAATCATTAGCAATCCCGAGCATCATGACTTCATTAATTACGAAATACACGTGCTCTTTAAGGGCTCTTGGTTGCGAAACGCATCCCAAATTAGGAAGTGAGAAATTTGTTTTGATTAATGTCTTTATATATACCGCACATAATCCATATCCGTTCTACACAAATTGCACCGTGACTTCGACGCTTTAAGTTCGCAAAGACTCGTAAGATATCACCATTTTTTTAAATCGTGTAAGATCATTTGGACAATCGCTCATTCTTCATCTGAAAACCGACGTAATTCACAAGGATGATTTAGCTATGTTATCCTCGATGATGCGTTTGGAGAACATGTATCAGAAATAATCCCCCTTACTAATAATACAACAAATCATCGTCACGTACAATATCTAATATCGTCTTAATCTGCTTTCGCGGAAGGAAATTCATGCTTGTAATTTCTCATAAAGAGAAGAGAGTGCAAAGTTATGTTCTTATATGTTCATATAATGAATGTCAAGACTTTAGACGCTCTATGGTAAGTATGTCAGAATTCAGAGACTACACTGAGAAAAAAATGCTGCTGAATCAATAGCACTAAATATATATATATATATATATATATATATATATATATATATATATATATATATATATATATATATATATATATATATATATATATATATATATATATATATATATATATATATATATATATATATATATATATATATATATATATATATATATATATTGATATGATGCTGTTGATTCAGCAGCATTTTTTTCTCAGTGTACTATTTATAATTTCATGCACTGTGTAACATGCGAAAAATATTTGAAAAATCAAATTAGATACTTATAATTGCGTTCGCATCAAATAATTAACTATGTGGAATCAGCTGAGTGAAAAAAGATCATAGAATTTTTAGCTTTTGAAGATCAATCTTTGTGACGAATCAAGTTTAAAAAAAGAATTTGACTAAAGCAAACTGGATTGACGTGTCTTGACTTGTACTTTATTTATACGTGCATAGCGATAGCAAATGCGTTTGTCATAACATGTATCAAAATACACACACATATATATTGAAATATGTAGTATGTAAAATTATAAATAGAACTCCATTCTATAAAATCTGATTTTAAATGATTTATAGTGATCTTTCATAAAAGCACTTTTTGAAAGTTCACATTCCTTTCCCTTACTTAAATAAATTAATGTTAAATAAATTATATTAAGTATTAGACTTGGTGTCGTCATGTTTTATTTTATTTAACTTTTTAATCTTTAGTATTTAATCTTTAATATTTAACTTTTTGAGAAATATTATAAAAATGGTTTTAATCAGTTAATTTTGTTAAATAATGGATGAAGCAAACAGAGAGGTATATTATTAGTATTTTTCCAGATAAAAATAACTTTAGATAAAATCGATTTCGTACCTGCTGGCCTTATCTTTTCCGGAAACCAATCTAATTCACAAGAATTTCCAACACGCATCGAGTTGTGCTGTACATAACAAAATAGATTTTATAATATTTATCCAGCACGTGCATATCTGACTTTTTCATCAAATTAACCTTTTTGAATTATTTATTAAACTAAGTCCTTAATGGTTTCAACGTGTAACAAAGAAATCCGATACGGCGCAAGTAGCTGAATAACACAACAAATGAAGCGGATCGCTTTATCAAGGTCTGAAGTAGCAATTCACTCCGATCCCTCAAGTATTCGAGTAACTTTCTTATTTTCGGACGAAGTAACCAAGACGTGCAACCTGAAAACTGTCGACAGACCTTTTTACTCCATGGAAAAGTAACGGGGATAGGTATAGCGCCTTCTCAATTTTCACGCCGAGCTTTCGGCGCGCGCGCGCGCGCAAAAGTGAGAAGAGAACTGCGAAATGGAACGCACCTTTTGAATTAGGGATGGAAGAATGATGTTATTACATGAGGCGAACGGGACGTACGTGACCGTGCACGTCAAAATTTCTCCGAGTCTCGACAGAGGGGCGCGTCATGTAACTTTTAACTCGTAACCGCTGTAGTGAGATGTAATCTAACTTTAGTAAGGGCGCCTTATAAAACGAATAAATGTGCGACTCACTCTTAGATTATTATTATTATTATTCTTTTATCTCGCGATGACTTTGCGTTTTTTGTACAAATTATGCTTGTTCAAAAGTTGCCTAGATTAATGGCATTGTAACAGCGTTTATATTTAGCATCAAGTTTAAGTCATCCTGCTACAACAGCTAATTAAGGCTGTTCGCAAAAAAATATATATATATATATATATATATATATGCATATATTAAACAAATGCGCGAAATAAATCACGTGGTCGTGTTGCTCTTTAAACGCATAACACAAGGAGGCAGTAAGGAAGCGGATTTATATCCTGCATAATTTAGCAGAGTTCTCATATGTGAATGCGAGAATTAATACTTGATTCATTGCTTCCAGACACGTATTCGATCAACGTACGTATATATTTTATGCACAGTTTCTCTGTGTGATAAAAAATACACGCGGGCATTCGCTAGGGACGCTATACTCGAGAGACATTCCGGATGACGCGGATTATGCGATTACGTACCGATAAGTCGAGAGAGAAAAATTCTCGTAATTATCTGTAACACGCTGTCGTTACAGATTACACGGGAGCTTAATGTCGCGCGATATTGACAACGTAATTTGATCGAGATAAGGTCACATTTTGCGCCACTGGAATTTTGCGTCGCGATAAAACAATCGGTCATTCATTCAATGGGAAGTTCATAGCAAGCTTCCGCACTCATGCATTTTCCTACGAATAGGCGTTGATCGATCTCGAAGACGACGTAGAGCGATGACTTTCATTCGATCTACATTCACTCCGCGATCAACGACAGGACACAGAACCGTGTTGCTAGTTGAAAACAATACTCATAAAGTTTCTGATACAATTGATTTCATTACGAGTAAGGCGCCTTCGAAAATGAAAATTAATCACAGCAAGACAAAAACCCGGATTTGGCCCGGATTTCCTTATTGAAACGAGCAATCCGGTTTGATTTGGATTTAATTGTAAGAACAGTTCACCCTTGAAGGGAGCGTCTGATTTCTAAATTGAATAACTTTGCATTATTAATGGAAGATTTCGATATGCAAAACATTATCATTTGCATATTTTGCAGAAGAAATTTTCTTGCAAAAAAAAAACGCGAGAGAGAAACAATATTTGTCTTTGAAAAAGTACAGATTTATCATTTATCTCTACATATTCAAACTTTATTAAAACTTGACAAACAGACGATTAAATAGGAAGTATTACGAAAGATAAGTATTGATTTAGAATTCTAGTGGAAATTAAATGATCGTTGCAATGACTACTTTGTATCGAATATTTGTGCCTTAAAAAAAACGACAAAAAAAAAGAGCGTACGCCTCAATATTCGCTCACTGAATATTCATAAACTTATATAAAAGGATCGCAACAAGTGGTACTTTCAACTTTTATCAAATTCTGTTCTTTGAGGTTTTATCGATTTATAAAATATTACTGTTTCAGTAAAGAGTTTCCAAAGAGACTTATAATTAACCTTCGAGATATTTCTCGTGGCAAGAAATTTAAAAACAAAAAAAAGGCAAAAATGTCCTATAAACCAAGTACGGTAGCGACGAAAAAAATGAGTAAGTTAAGTCTCTGTGAGGCAGGAGAGATAAGCTTCTTTGAAAACGAGAATCAAATACTGTCGGCAGAAGGGAAAGTCGACAGAAATAGGATAATCCATAAAAATACCTTGTTGGGGAAAGACTAAAAGCTTTAAATTAGTACGAATATAAAATTTTTGTAGCAAGAAAATGCAATTAACATTTTGGAGCAATTATCTTCCGATATAGTAAAATTTAACTATCGAAATTCGAAGCTGATTAACAGAATAAAATAATTCGGCATAATGATACGTAAATAGATCACGTTTTTTTTTGATACGTGATACGTTTAAACGCGCAATTTCGTACATCAATTACAATAAATATTACAAATATATGGCCTAACTTATCAATAATTCCCTTATGCATTCAGTTAATTGACGCGCAATAAACGTGCAATGTGTAATTAATATAAACAGATTTATATAATTTGCATCATTGCTACAGAATTGGGAATCGTTCAATTTGCAGAGCACTATCGCGAAATAAATCGCAATAATCACGTTATATAAAACAATAACAATATCAAAACGGAAAGGATTTGTAATTGTATACAGTATACAGTACAGGCTGCAATTATCCTCGTTATTACGACCCCGCGTTATGCCATTAGCAGATTCAATTTTGTGCTCCGAGGCTATTTTCAGGTCACGTATTTACTTTAGAAGCAATTCTAGTTTTCAACTGGCACCACTTGCGTCTTTCGCGGACTGCTTTCGAGGACTGCTCCGCACATTCCAGGCGCAAAGTGCCGGGGCTGGCTTTGTTGAAGTTTAAGAGCAGAGAACGAGGTGGATTAATGATCATCGGGAATTCGCATACGGGCGAGTTAATTAGCAGCCGCCGAACAATGCGTCGTTTAATTAAATCACGGTTGATGGGACTTATTAAAGACCGTCACCGGACGGAAACTCTGGAGGTGATCCGGGCTCCTTCCCCGTGGACGTGGTGCCCGAGTAAATATTACGATCATCATCGAGGAAACGTAATGACGATCGCGTCGGTGAAAATCGCCGCTGGTGTTTACCATGGATGAATTTAATCGAATCGCTGTCTCTCCCGCAAAGAGACGTGGCCCGTCAAACGCGCTTAAATGAAATGCAATCGGGGCGATGCCAACATGAAATTAATTACGAGTCGCATAACGAAATGCGAGCCACGAAAGCCATATGAAGACTACATTGTGACATTACCTTGCTTTATATATATATATATATATTTACATATATTCGCTTATATGTGAACTTTATCTGCACGGTGTGAATATCAAATGTGCAAATCGTCAAAAGCTACATCTCCCGAATGGCATGCTCTACGCGTTTGGTATTCACCCGGAATGTGCATCGTCGACATTCCGAGAAAAAGAACAACATATATAATGCATACGGTATGCAGCTTTCCAGGAATTTCCCTTCTTTTTCACCGTCAATTACCGCCCGCCAAGATCTATGGCCTCAAGTTTAATAAGAAACTTACTCGAGAATTTGATTCAGATTCATTTTTATCCAAATTATATAACAAGAGTTTATTATATCTTTGTATCTCATTATACTTTGTTTCTACCTATATGTATTTAATTAATTGGCAGGAATATATCGCAAATAAAATAAAAAATTTCATTGCACTCGCGTATGAACGAGTCGATTACTTCTTTTTAAGTATTCATCAATATTACTCGCGAGATAACTAATCCTACAGAGCTATTAAGCCGTGACGCAATTTAGTACAACTTAATGTACATCTAGACGTATAATTGCGAAATATATCCAAAAGCTGCTCGTAGCTTTTAGCGTAGACCATATCACAAAGTACATCAAAAAATTTCCCAAAAAGTGCATGGCATTCGAGTTGCAATGTAAAAAAAATTCTGGCTGGCGGCAACTTTATCATATATTCTTCAACTTTATGGCTCATATCTGTCACTTAGATCTCGGTACAAGATTTGTTGGACCACCTCGCGAATGTACCGTCATCTTTCATCGCGCTCCCGACATGTCGTTACATGAGGTAGATATCCAATGTCACGCGGTGAACTCGTGAAACTCTTGTAAATGTGTGTTTCCGGCGCTGTGACATGAAGAGGAAAGTTCAGAGAATATATGCAGACTTCTATCTTTCTATTTGACAAATGATAGCCAAGTATTCCATCATATGTTATTATCCTTAACGTATATTCCTTATTTTTTATAATCGTTATCCGTATTCCCTATGTTTCCGTATTTTCCTTATTTTTTTTTTTTATCGAGTTAATTTTGATAAAATTATACATTGCTGTTATTCCTTATCTCATGCATGTATGTCCTGTTAGATGTTTCAGTACATTTTTATATATAATTTATGGTAAGAAATTTCTAGAGTAGAGATTTTTCCTAGAAATCCAAATAAACTTTTTTGTATTTATGCAAATAGATAAAGGACTGAATAGAATAGGATGCTTTTTCTTTGAACACGATCTCGATACAAAGTCGAATACACTCTACAGAATCGGATTGGATAGGAAGTGGCTTTCGTGGAGAGAAAATATGCAAAATTCGTGCTCTAGCAATAACAAAGGATTATCTAATAAACGTTGAAATAGGAAAAGATTAATGCGAAATTAACATGTATGATAGTAATACTACATTCACGAAAATTCTGCAAAATTGTCATGAATATGGAAATTGCGGATATAGAGAAGAGAAACACAGAAAGATTAAGCTTGATATGAAAATAAATAACGCGAAAATGAAAACGCGTTTTTTAGTTTTCGTATCTCTTTCATTTAGTTTGTATTAAAATAAATACTGTAATTGATTTTTATTCAGAATTACAATGCTGCTATAAAAATCATAGTTGATTTCAAATCATAGCAGAAAAATAAAGATATTGAATGATATTGACTGTTTTTCTTCTTTGTTGATTATTTCATTATTTCTGTTAATGAGAATGGACAAGTTTTGCATCTACAAATAGAAATGGTCATTGATATCGATCGCGAAATAACAATTAAGCGAATATGAAGATCTTTTAATAAACAGACTTTAATATTACTCCCCCTTTATGACAGTTCAAGTATAAAAATGTAAGTATTTATGTAAATGTAAAAAATATAATATAAGTATTTTATGTAAATGTAAAAAGTCAGAATACTTTTCCCTCTTCAGATACTAAATCAAATGGAACAAAAGTTCTTAGGGAGTATACAAACATGAACGTAATTCTCTCAAGATGTTTTTGAAAAATGATACTTTTTGCAATTGTACCCAGCGGAAATATATTTTACTAAAAAAAAAGCAGACAGATTAATTGAAATAGTTCGTTTCTCTTTAAGTAAAAAAGTTTAGGATATTTTGTATAATATTTTTGCATTTCCCTCTGAGAGAATGAATAAAAATGCAAGATGGCTGAAAATTTTCTCAATTCCATTCTTAATCCAGTTTGATCGCAAGCATTTCCACCTATGTCCCTCGTTTTCCGAGTTTGTCACAAAGTGCACAAAGTATCTAACAGCCTGCCATCGTGTCTTTTTGTATCTCGCTCGCATATGTGTGTGTGTGTGCGCGCGCGCGCGCGCGTGTGTGTGTGTGTGTGTGTGTCATATGTACGTGTGCATTTTCATTCGGTTACATGTTACTTTCCGAACGAGAAGTCGCACCGACGTTCACACGTGTCCGCGTTTACGTATATGATACGCAGCGAATGCAACCCCGGATTTCTTCAACTACACGGCTCGCCTGCTCGCGACGGGACGGAATATAACGAGACTGGCTGTCATCGTAATTCTGACATTTTCGCCATTCTGATTTTGCACAGCGTTTCGTGCGAGGTAGAAACACGAAGCACGAAACGCGCAAACGTACTCCGTAACGCAAAAAAGCGACGCTCTCGATTGAAAGAAATGTTTTTACGTTGTGTGAGGTGTATCCTTCGTCTCGCAGCTCTTGGGGAGATCCACGGAATAAACCCGGAATTCAATTTGAATTGCGTTACGTCAAGTTACTTACACGAACTTTGCTGTCAACTTTGTACGTGACGTATACAAGATTCCTTTAGAACACATTTAATAAGATTACTATAAGAAATGGATACAAAAGAATCCTTAGAGTTTTTCGGATTAAGTAAGATCTGATTTACTCAGGATTCAAACGTGGAAGATCGAAAAGTATGGTGTGTCGCGTTTCAAGGCTGATTTAATTAACTGAATCACCGAAAATCACATTTTACACACGTCCGGAAATATTTAATGTTCGGCAGACTGTCTGCAAAATATGTTTTCATCAAAATGAATTATATGTAATCGTACTTAATTTAAAAGCACATCCATTAATCTATTTGCGAGCTGAACTATTCTGCTAGCTCTTACAACATTGTTACATCATAAAATTAGGTAAAATTCTCGTGTAAAGACCATTTCCAGTATTCAATAGAGATCGTTGACTATTTGTCATAACTAGAAAAAATGTATTTTATTTTTGAATAAAATATTGAATGAAATATTTGAACAAAATATTGAGAAATTTGAATAAAATATTTGAATAAAATATATTTTGATATAAAAAAGTGCAATATGTACAGATATATTACGTTGGATTAAAAAACGAACTATAATATAGTTATTAATCGTATTATTAATCGTATTTAAATTAAATCCGTTAATTTTTAGAAAGTGACTTTTTAATCTATCTTATATCTCTGTCTTGTGAAATGATGCGTATGTAATAAAGTCAAGGTCTTTTATCGGTTTCTAGTAATTATGTAAGTTAAAATGAGACGATTTGCTATAATTAATAATTATCTGTCGATTTCTCCTCGATATTAACATGCTGCTCCGATTACTGATAAATCTAAATAATGTGATTTGAAAGGTTAAAGGTTAAATTGAGGACCAAATCCTCATTGGTCAATGGATAGCAAAGAAACTAAACATCTCTTAATTTCATTCATCTCTCTTTCTCATTAATTCATTCTCATATTTGCATGCACTCTCGTATTTAGCATACTGCATGTGGGGTGCAGCATTCGGTATCAGTTTTGAATTATGCAATCTCGTTTTACTTATGAAAGTCACGAACTGGTCCTCTCGCAGGACGAGACTAAACTATCCTAAAGTCTTTTTCTCTTTTTTTTTTTTGCAACGAAGCGGGAGCATATAAAATTCGCATAACAAATGAAATTTGGATGAGCGGTGAATTCGCATTGAAGAGACTGTTTGCGCTCCATCGCGCGACGACGAAAAAGAGATATTTTGGAGCAGAGTGAAGACTATCGACCATGTGTGTTGTGTACATGAATATATTTGCTTCCGCCGTCGATATGAGTTCGAAAAAAAAGCCAAAAGCAAATGAGCCGAGAATTTATTATCGTAGCAGCTGTTCTCCAGTTCAGCTCGTGCGGAAGGAGGCATTAGCACGACTTTTTATGACTCACATCACGCGCAATCGTGTCGTTCGTTCTCGCGCCGACGATTGATGTTCCTTAGGAAAAAGCTAAGAACAATTTGTACGGACACCCTCGCGATTTCGTATACTTGTCGAACACCGTGTGACGGCCCAAGGACGTCAACACGTGGAAGCCAATGTGTCGAAGGAACTTGAAGCCGATGAGCTGTTATAACAATTCGAAATGGCAGAGGAGCTCGAAATTGATAAAAAATTGTATATTCAAAACATGTTATTTAATTGTTATTATTTATATAATGGTATTTGTGGAAATTAAAATTTAGAATTTCTTCATGATTAAGAGTTTTAAGACAAACCGAAGATAAAACTATTCGACTTATAATATCGACTTCGGATGTAGAAATTGTCATCTATTTAAATTAGACTCTTCCTCCATTCTTTCAGTCATACATAATACACTCGTCATAATTCTTTTCTCTTTAATTATTACGCACACAGAAAGTGGGTAGATTCGAATTCTACAATAATATTACATATATCTTCTTTTTTCGAAAATTAAAATTAAATAAAACGATAAAAAATACAGTATATTTTATTAATACGAAGCCTCCTCTGCCTTTCACCAATCGAAAATGTGAGTAGCCCGATCGATTCGTACAGGGATCAAGTTCGGGATCCTTTTCCATGTAGACGGAAAAGAGCGTCTGGAACACTCTGCGAGGAAATGTCACGTGCTTTCCGGTCCAGAAAGCCGGCAAAGAGACAGCTATACGCACGGACGAACAATTTCGAATTTGAAATGTCTCAGCGTTCTTTACCGTAGGTAGAGAAGAAGACATCGCAAAGGCGCGCGTCTTGCCGGACTGATATTCTTTTTAATGGTGAAAAACAAAACGAGCGTATCAGATCGCATTGTACACGATTGTGGTACACCGAACGGAAACACATGTTTGCGATACAACTGTTCGCGTTCTCCAGATGTTCCTTCATTGACAAGATCATCAACTTTATCACTGTGTTCAACTGTATTCGCAAGCAGAATCAGTCGGATCTACGTTTTCGCGTTTTGCATTCGATCGCGTCGTGGGACACGTGTCGCGTGACATCTCTCGAAGACAACTGGTCAGCTGAAGGATAAACCGTGGTGTCCGGCTTCACGATCGAGATCGATAGACGCGTGATCGTAGTTTCCGAATCTGTATTCATATTTCGAAGTGGCTCATTGTCCGTCGGACCATCGCGAGGTTTCAGGTACCGGTCCGGGTTTTTTCTCGATCACCGATCACCCCGGTTTCTCGATTTGCGCTCTTCCGGAGCAAGCTCGGAACGCGCGATTGAAACTGAGAGCGAACCGAAGGAAAGCACGGTGCTCCGGATCGCCCACCGAAGTCGACGATCGCTCCTCCTCCTCTCCGTTCTCATCTCCTCTCACTCTCTGCCGCGCTCTTCCCGCCACCGGCTCTCTCTCTCCCTTCCTCCCTTCGATCCCTCCGCCGCCCTCTCGTGCCTTTTCCCTCCTTATCCATCTCCGGATCTGCCTATCTGTCTATCTTCGCCACCGGTCCTCCCTCTTTATCGCACCTCCACATCGCGACGGCTAACTCGCTCTAGGCGAGCACGAGTACACCAGATCCGAGATCGTGTAGGTGGATATCGCTGTGCGCCTCCACGAAGGAAGCACGACGAGGAAGTGGGACGCATGCGTCGATCCTTTCGTACACCCTCCATGCATCCACCACACCTTTCATTCCGCATCGAATGGCCACGGGGCACGAACGAAGTGTTTAAAGAGCCTTGGATCAAAAAAGTGATATCCGCAACTTCGGTTCTTATCTTTATTCTTCTGAAAAGCGCCATGCGCCTACGATTATGTGAAGCACCCTCGTAAAAGTTCGCGAGAAAATAGCTTTGGGGGGGGGGAAGGGAAGGGGAGAGAAAGTTCTCGAACGAATTTAATCTTTGTTATCTTTTTTAGCAGTAGCCTCGTAAGCATTATATAATACTTTGCAGAGAATAATATCGGGGATCTCCGCGCATCTCATGGAGATACTTTGCACCGCAAATAGAAGAATTTGTGCGGATTAAACTCCAGGAGTGTAAATAGATCGGAACGCAACTTTGCCGGTCAGTTAATTTCTGCTTAACTTTAAGCTTAATAGAAATTGCGTTTTGGAATTTATTCGCCGAGTAGTTTAAAATTAGAAATAAAAAAGTTACAACAAATAAACACCTCGTTGAATTTTTTGAATTTTTGTAAGGAAGATAAAAAATTATTGGAATTTACTCGTCGAGTAGTTTAAAGTTAGAAATAAAAAAGTTACAACAAATAAACACCTCGTTGAATTTTTTGAATTTTTGTAAGGAAGATAAAAAAATTATTTCTAAATTTTTTATACAACCTATAAAATAATAGACTTAATAGACTTGAAATACAAGATGGCTAACGATAATTTATTGAATGTATTAGTATATATTCTTTCAGATTTGCATTATGTTTTCCTCTCAGTTAGCATAAGATATTAAAATGTTATTTATTTTTGTATCGAAAATGTCGTGGCCACTCGAGGCAAGCAAATTTTATTCTGTAAACGTAACTTGAATAATAAGAGACAAAAAATTTGTGGATATAAGTAACACGGTAAAAATATAATGAGACTTCTTTCTATCGTGCGCTTTTATCGATAACGCACCACTCCACCTGCGTGCTTGCAGATGTAGTGAAATAGATTTCACAATATCTAAAATCATATACGTGACAATACCGAATGGAAATTATCGATAAATCGGAGATTGCTGAATCATCAACTATATGTCTCCTTTCTTTTTTAAATATAAATCTATTCCATATTATACAATAAATTTCCGACAGATATTTCCTAATATAAATATAATATTATCAACGAATTTAAAAATAAGAGGGACAGAAAGAGAGAGAGAGGGAGGAAGAGGAAAAGAGAGTTATTTTTTAACATAAATGCTATGAGATAAAAAGAATTGTTTACCGATATTAGATATAATCACATATCTGTTTTGGAAATTTTTTAAATATACATAGGAACGATATATTATAAAACTTATATTATTAAAACATGTGTAGATACTTGTTAACTAAAATTATTTTTAATTCTATTCTAGACTCTTTCGCAATCGTCATTTTGAGTGTGGGTTCTTTCCATGTATCTATCATAAGTCTCTCGTCAAGGTCAGTTTTCTGATCTTCGAAGTGAAAGAACTGTCGAACGTGTCATTTACGCAAGAGTTGCCTACGTCTTTTTATCGTTTAAAAATAGATTTATAAGTGAGAAAAAGAGACCCGTCTATCATACATAACGTATTAGGATATATATATTTTTTTTTCAGATAATGATAAATCAATACAGCAACATTAAAAAGTACTTACTGTAGCGAAAATATGATATACATTTCACATTCACGAAGAATATGTTTACAAATGAGAGATAAATTTTTAAAATATAGAATTAAATTATATATCTTACAGTAACTTGCTTAAATGATTGAGATTTCGTGGTTTTAGTTGGACATCCATATGTTCCTTATTCTCTTTAATATTTTAATTTTAAACCGCGCAGCAAATGAATTTAAAAATGTGAGAAAGTTATGCGAAACGTTCAAATGAATTTTTATTAAAAAAACATGTAGTTTTTTTTCACGTCGATCGAGGAGATCGTAAATGTCATGAGAATGCAGGAAACGTAAAAAGTATTCCGAGTACAAAAAAAAAAAGAAAAACAGTAGATACGTTATGTTATCGCATTTGATGATCATTCAAAGATTTTTCTTAAGATTCAGTACCATTTCGCGCGGGTTGGAAAAACTTAAAAGCATTCGCTAATGATCTTATTATGAGAGACGCCACTTCCGACGACAGTTGCTTCCAAGCTTAAGGCTCTAATGTCATTCAACCTTGTTGCATATACCGTGCAAAAAAATGCAATATTTATGCAGCGCGTGGAAAAATGTCGTGAGTACCTGTGTATGCATTTGCATATGCTCTCAGTGCGTGTCACCACGAAACACGCATTAAGAGCATATGCAAACAGGCACTTATGACCAATGCGTTTTATGCATAATGTATCGACGACATTTACAAATATCCGTCTGCTCGTACAGCATGAGAGTGACGTACGAGTGACACGTTTGCAAAGTTCTTCAATTTTCAAGCATTCACTCTCTTGCTTCACAACTTCCCCTCACAATACAATATAAAACAGATCAACAAGCAAAATTACAAAATTACAAAATAACATCGTGACTTGTTTAATTAGCACGCTTTTCATAACAATAACATAAGAGAATGATATTGTCTTAGCAAAAATTTGCAAAAATGCATACTGTAAGATGTAATAATTGTAAATATAAGAAACGCTATAAATATGTATATTAGCATGCGTATTACGTGACGTGTGTTAGTATTTATGAATTATATATTATTTGATATGCAAATTTTTAAAATTTTATTTTGTCTTTTGCAAATTCGCATAAGATGTTGCCAAGAATTTTTACCGACGTAAGATCTTCGTGAATTTTATACGGTAAGTTGATACTTTCGTCAGTTGATAAAATTTGGTACTCGAAACATTTTGATTAATATTCACCAATATTGTTAATTTTTATCATGTAAAGTTTTTTTTTAGACACGTTCCTTTGTAATACACACACACACACACACACACACACACACACACACACACACACACACACACACACACGCA